AGAGAGAGAGAGAGAAAGAATGGATGGAAAGAAGAACGAAAATAGGAAAGGTCGAACAGCCTAAGTCTGTATGGTAGCACCGTTTGTTTTTTTTTGTTTTTTTTTTACGTGTAGAGGGTAAAAATATCTATTTACGTGTTATCCGAGATCAATTCACAATGTTGCCTTTCCGTTTGCCTCTTTGAGCAACGACTCCTTAATCCGTTTCCCAATTCCTCCCATCCCTTGGTCTTTGAACCCTTTTCACTCCTTTCCTCCTCGTCGTTTCTTTCGTTCAAACGATCACTCGAATGATGCTTTTCAACCGTCGATTGGCTACTCGATTCATCCCTTCTTTGCTCCTTTCCCGATCTGCTGCTACTTATGGAAATCGACGTGTCCTCTTCCTTAACATCCGTTATCCTTTCAATCTCGCTGGGAATAGATCTGATCATAGTTCCGTCCATATTTTTGGGTTTCTTTGTATCTACAGCGTTGTTAACCTCCTCCGTTTCAATATTCCGCTTTCGGAACGTCTGATTTTCACTTTTAGTCGATTTATTAGTCGGTTGTACGCTCTCGGATGTTACGTTCGACTCGATTTGACTACAATCCGTTTCTATCTTATCCGTTTCTATATTTACATCCACGTAACACATTTTCGAAGCGTCTGGTGTTTGATTATCATTATTGTGGCCAAGCGTATCGTAGCACGGCGTCGCGCTAGGGGCATAAACATTCTCTAACTGATCGTATTGGCTCATGGATTCATTGCTTTGTTGACTGATCTCCGACATGTTCCCTTCTTTAGCGTCTTCCTTTTTGAACAATTTTCTTTCATACTCCTTCAATTTCCTTCTCTCTTCGTCCCTTCGCTCTTGCCTGTTCAACATGTTCTTCCTAAAATCATCTTGCGATAAATCTGCTTTGGTGAACAAATGGATCGGCCGTTGGAATCCTTTTGCCGGGTGTGGAGGGATCGATAATACCTCGCATTTGGAAAAACCGACTTCAGAAGACAGTAGATATTGCGTGAAATTGTGTGGTCGAAACTCAATACTTTGATAATTCTTGTATATCCGTTCCTGCAATAAGAAATAAGATCATAATGTATTTTTATACGTTACAAAATAGGTTCGATACGGTCGATAAATATATTTTTACGCGTTTCCTAATTGAAATGAAATACTCACTGTGAGATTCTTTTTCTTAGTATAACTGCTCCAACCTTGGGGCTCTAATATTAAAACTCCACTCGGGCGTAATTGTGCATACATACGTTTGAAAGCTTGTTTTAAACCTGCATCTCCGAAATTCAAGTGTATCCATTTGGTTATCGATAAACAAAGAATCGCATCAAATTGTGGTTGTTCTGTACATAATAAAGAATCATCCTCGAGCACGTAATTACCCTAAAAATATATACATATTCAGATTTGTTTACAACAATAATGATATATCATTTATAAAATTTATTTAATATAATTTATAGAATTTTTCTTTTTAAATATGATACCTGTACAAAATTAACATTGTAAGGGAAACCTTTATGACTTTTATTTTTTGTGAAACCTGGAATATCTACTGGGCCATAATTGATTGGCATAGATATTGGGAAGAAGTTTACATCCTGATGATCGTTGTCTTCATTACCAGCAGGAGACTGTACACAATTGACATAATGTTTGATATTTTTTCGAGCTATATTGATAAGTGTTCTATCAATGTCAATACCAGTTACACTGCGAGCAGAGAAATCTCTTGCAACAGAAAGGGTAATGTGGCCGATATTGCAACCAATGTCTAATACATCTTTCCCAATAAATAAATGTTTTCGCTGTGCAAATACTGTCAGTCTTGTGTCCATTTCATTATGAGAATTGCGATATCCATAATACCTATTATAATTTCCATATTGATAACGTGCATCTTTCTCCCTGAATTTAGGCATTGTTTGTTTCTTTTTCTTGTCTTGACTCGGTCTATGTTGTGGCCTAGGCTTCCATGCTCCAGGTTGAGGAATTACGGGACTGACAATTTTATCTTTGACGTCTAATTTTCTTAACCTTTTATCTTTAGGCTCCTCCAAACCTTTTAAACGTAATTTATTCTTGTCTTTTTGTGGACTTTCTGGTTTTGACTCTTTAACTTGACTGGATGTATTAATTGGTGGTGAATTCAATGGTGGTTGTTGCTGTTCTGTTTCAACATTTTCTGAAACACTATGTTCCATAGGTTCTGCAACATCCATACCATCACAGTCTTTAATTTTAGTTTCAATAGAATCACTTGCATCATTCCCAGAACCAGAAGATACTCGTTTTTTCTTTCTATTTCGTCGTTTAGAGCCCTTTTTTGTCGGTGATATAAGTTGTTTCTCATATTCGTCATTGTCATTGCAATTGCTTAGATTCAAAGGATCACAGATATTTGGTGGAATTATGACTTCGATAACTTCTTTTTTATGCTTAGGTGTTGGTAATGGGCTAGACTTAGGTGTAACAGCGTTCATAGCTCTATTTATTTCCTCATCTTGCATGCTATTTAAATTTAAAGGATCACATATGTTACCACCAAGCAGAAACTTTGTGGGTGGAATAATTGCACCTTCCTTCTTTCTACGTTTGTATGGTGGAAAAAATTTACCATTGCTAGTAAAACTTTGTAGACGCTTTCTACCAAATTTAAAATGACGGCTATCCTCATGCTTATGCTTTTTATGAGAAGAGTTAAATACTTTTCTTGATTTATCATTTTCCTTTTTAGTAATTTGACTTACTTTAGTAGTCCGATCAACTTGTGCAGATGACATTTTTGGAAACCTAGAAAATAATTAAATACAATTAAAAACGATGAATGATTGTTTTTGTATAAAAAAGAATTAAATATTGTAAAAAATAAATAATTCAAAAATACAAATATAAATAATAAATTTAAATTGCAAGATATTTAATATATAATAAGTATTTATTGACTACTGTACACTGTAAATTCTACATAGTGAACAAAAACTTTCGAAATAAAATTTCGAATTGATATTATATATGCAAATATAAAAATTATCATAATAGAAATATGTACAATACATAAAAGAAAAGATGTTACACGTTAAGTTGTAAAATAATTTTTCTTATCATAAAAACAAGAAGTGCAAATACATTATCTCATAAGAAATTATTACATAAAATCTTTTTCATATTAGGTTCATAAATTCAGAGCAATAGTAGGCTATCCAATCATTTGCTCGAAAACTCTTTACGATCATGTATACTCGGCTCTCTGCGTAAATTTATCGTTCCCGCGATCGCGCATGCGCAGATTATGGTTTATGCGTTCTGTAAACGGATGGTCGCCTGTGCCTAGAGTTTTCGTTCTGAATTTTTGTCCTTAATTGCCTTGCTAAACGTATAAACTTACCTTCAAACGTTTTGCACACTGATTTAGTTTCACTTCGACGTACTTTTTGTTCGCATTAAGCACAAAAATCCACGTTTGTCACAAGATATGTGATGCACCCAGCTCCGAACTGTCGTTGAGCGCCCATCAACGATGGCGAATAGCTGCTTCGCTTGCTTTGCTCAAACTCCATTTTCTATGTGGGTACCCGAATGAGCCGAAGATAGCTTCGGCAATTTTCGGCAGTGAAATATAATTTGATCGGAGAAAAACAATTTTCAAATACCATATAAACGTGAAATTCTTAAAGAATTGTTAAAATTATTGTAATTTGTATATTTAAATTTTCTAAAAACTATATTTTAAATATAACATCTTCGAATCATGATATA